ACAGTCACAAGAATGGGCTGACAGCAATACTGGAAATGTCTTTTGCTCTACCAACATAAACATATGTGTAAACAATTTAAAGCAATGCAAGCCAACAAGCTAAAAACTTTAACAGAAGTTCGCTGCTTCTTCAAATATGTCCCTCACAGAGGTTTAAAATCAGTTCTGACATGGTTTTGCTGTTTCCTCTCTAAAACAAAAGCTACACTGCAGAATCTGGCCACTTTGCAGCAGCTGGTGCAAACTAGTCGAGCAGAAAACAAACCAGCACGTTTAGTGGGGAGCACTCCTCAACTTGGCAAAAGCACGTCACAGCATTCAAAAAGGAACAACACTGAGTGCAAGTACTTTGTGAATTATACAACAAAATAAAGTTTTACCTTCACATTGAGTCCTGGGAAGAATCTTCCATCTTGTTTTGATAACCGTTTCCAGAATCTGAAGAGCATAGTACTAGAACATGCAAGGAAGGAGCAGCATTAGGACAAAACTTTATGATAATGCTCAACAACAAGCATTGTAATTTTAATACAAGCCAAAACAATATAAAGTGGACCAGCCCATAAAAACTTGAATTTCTAAATTGGACTGGACTGAACCACATCTTTCATGCACATTTTATAGTATGCAGAACATTCACTTGTAGTTTGTATTATATATCTATACAAGCAGCATTAATCTGGAACACTGCAGAAGTCCTGCTGTTTCTCCCAGCATCACACCAGACAGCAAAACACAGCAGAAAAATCAAACAAGGGTTGTTACTATGATGAGTAATGGTCCTAACAAAGTCTAAGTTAAATATTCTGTTGCAGAAGCTGCAGGACCTATGTAGGGTTGGGCACTGATTTTGAATTTGGACTGGTTCCAGCCTATCAGATCTGCGACTTTGCTAAGGAACAAAAACTTCACATACTTTTATCAAGCAAAGTCTGAACTTCCTGTGCTTCCATCTACCTCACCAATTTTGCCTGTGTCGAAACACACACACGCACAAACAGATATAGTGCTTATGGTATAACAGGCTGGAGCGAAAGCTCAGCAGTGTAGTCAAGTATAAAACACAGACAGCCAAACAGTTCAAAAATAAGTTTACAAAAGCAAGAAAGAAAGTTCGTCAAGTAGTATTGTCACAATACTGAAATTTCTAACTTCAGTACAATACCTTGAAAAATATCAATATTTCAATAACATTGATACCGTGGGGAAAAATGGACACCTGATTCAGGGCATCAAATTTTACATTTTATTTTAAAGATAAGTATAACAAGGCTCTAACATGGTGATGAGGTATGCCTTTCGTTTCTTGGCTAGTAGCAGAGAATGACCTAAGGTGTAATCTCCACAAGGGACTGGGGGACCTGAATTGAGACAAAGTGACTACTTCAGCATTGCTATAGGGTTGCATTCAGACAAGCATTACATGAAAAAGTTCCACTTCATTGCTGGCGCAACAGGGGTGCCAATGCAACATGACCACAGAAAATAAACCAAAAAAAATCCATCCATCCATCTTCATCTAAAACCGGGTCACAGGGGCAGTAGCCTGAGCAGAGCCTCCCAGACTTCCCTCTCCCCACACACCTCCTCTAGCTCCTCAGGAGGAACCCCAAGGCGTTCCCAGGCCAGCTGGGAGACCTAGTCTCTCCAATGTGTCCTGGGTTTGCCCCGAGACCTTCTCCCGGAGGGACGTTCCCGGAATACCTCCCCAGGGAGGCGTCCAGGGGGCATCCTAAACAGGTGCCCGAGCCACCTCAACTGGTTCTGCTCAATGTGGAGGAGCAGCAGCTCTACTCCGAGCTCCTCATGGGTGACTGATCTCCGCACCCTATCTCTAAGGGTGTGCCTAGCCACTCTCTGGAGGAAATTCATTTCTGCCGCTTGTATCCGCGATGTCATTCTTTCGGTCATGGCCATAGGTGAGAGTAGGAACGTAGATCGACCGATAAATTGAGAGCTTCGCCTTATGACTCAGGTACTTCTTCACCATAATGGACCGGTACAGAGACCGCATTACTGTGGACGCCGCACCAATCCAACTGTCAACCTGCTGCTCCATTTTTCCCTCACTTGTGAACAAGACCCCGAGATACTTAAACTCCTCCACTTAAGGGAGCAACTCGCCCCCAACCCAGAGAGGACAATCCACCTTTTTCCAATTGAGAACCATATTCTTGGATTTGGATGTGCTGATTCTCATCCCCGCTGCTTAACACTTTTTGATTGTTCTGCGCACCATTTCCCGACTTACAGCGTTTCGTCTTTGCTCAATTTAAATTGTACGCCAAACTACTACGGTGGCCGACACGGTCACAACACATCCCCTCCCTGGAACCAACACCTTAACACAGTGGAGAGGTTTGAGTGCCTGAATGATCTCAGGAGCTATGTTGTCGTGGGCTATATGTCCTTGGTAGGGTCTCTCATGGCAAACAGGTCCTAGGTGACAGACAAAGGGGAATTTTAGAGACAATTAAAAAAAAAAAAAAAAAAAAAAAAAAAAAAAAAAAAAAAAAAAAAAAAAATCAAGGCTCACGAGTGCCCGGCCAACCCAAACCTCGGACACCAACTCTGGTTCTTGGGACTTGGAATGTCACCTCTACAAAAACATTTTGAAAAACAAAAAAAAACAAAAAAAACAAAAACTTTTACTGCACCATGTTGTCATCCAGTCAAAGCGCTGCATTTGGTCCACTTGCAAGACCATCACAAAACACCTCAAAAAAGGTTATTTGTTTCTAAAGAGTCATAGCTACAAAAATAACATGAACATTGAGCAGAGCAGTAAATCTCCCTGTACTAAACAGCAATGTGCTGCTGTCCAATAGGCCATGAAATTCCTAATCCACTACATAAACTGGAAGTCCTGGATTGTACTTCACCTGTTCCTAAAGTATGAAATGCTCCCAATGCAGCCTTTTTTAATCAAACACAGAGCTATTTTTAATCTGATAAACCACTAAAAATTTGGCATTTTCACCATCCCCAGCTGTTGTTGTAATGCCCCTTAATCAAATAAGGCTGAAGGGTCTAAATTATATACAGAAAGTATGAAATAGAAATTTTAATGTGAATTCTTGTTTTTTCTCTCACATAAAAATAAATCCCAAAATACCTTCTTGTTAATGACTCATTTAGCATGCCAAGAATCTGAACAAGCACTTGCTAAGAACCAGAACTGATAAGTGGAATTCAAACCTAAAAACAAAAAGTCATCAATACCCAACCCTAAACTATATGAGTAACTACATATAACTTATGATTCAATTTAAAGGTAAGCCTCAATAAGATGCCTTTAACTGGTATGTCATAAGGAACAGCAAGACCAACCACAGGTTATGTCCTGCATTATTTTCTGATTGTTGAATAGTGAATCATGAAGAAAAACAACAGAAGCATTTTATTACAAGTTAGTTTTTGATCTAATGTTACTTCAATTGACTGTTTCAACTGCAATCATAAATTCAAGAAAAAAATTAATGGCTGCAGCACTATAGGAGTTATTAAAGCAGGACAGACAGTGTGCTACAAACAATGGATGCTAGGAAAGCTCCTTAGAGCAGGGGTGTCAAACTCTATCGCACAGGGGGCCAAAACTCAAATCACACTTTAGGTCGCAGGCCGAACAGGATAAAAATTTATTGAACAGACTAAAACTAAACGTTTTTTGAACATAAATATGAATCGAAACAAACAGGATACAATATTATTCCAAAATAAGTAAACTTGAACTTAAAATCAGCAACTGTATTTCTGCTAAGGCTTACATTTGCAAACACCTGCTTTTTGCCTGGACACAAGACGTCGCACACTTTCATCATGCAGCACTTCAGAAACTCTCCCTCGGTAAATGGCCAGGCTCATTTGGCAACCTCCTCTGCCGCAATAAAACTCGCTTTCACAGCAGTTTCACTGTGTGATTTCGCTTTGGTGAAAATGTCTGCTGTGATGTCAGATTCCTTTTCAACTCCTCTACCTTCTGTAGCTTCTGCTCTGCATTCATGTTTTTCAGCTTGTCCTGATGTTTTGTCTCGTAGTGCCGTCTTAGGTTATATTCCTTAATTACAGCCACATTAGCTCCACAAATAAGACACATGGGTTTACCGGCAATGTCAGTAAACATATACTCAGCCTCCCACCGTTTTAGAAAGGCTCTGTTTTCAGAATCAACGTTTCTCTTGGCCATTCTTAGGGGCTAGCTTTGACTTGAAATTAGGATTGTATACATCAACAGACGCTTGACTGATCTGACGTAATTGATGCGGGAATGATCACAGGTAGCCTATCGTTCGGTAAGGCAGCTGTTGCGCTGCATTATGGGATTTGTAATTTGTGTGTTATCGGCGCTTCATATCGCTGGGCCGTTAAAAAAAGATATATAAAATGATCTCGCGGGCCGGATGTGGCCCGCGGGCCTTGAGTTTGACACATGCTATAGATGTATAGCTCTCTAAGTATTTCCTACATAGGTCACAGAATCAATTTCCATTCGCCCTGCTCCAATATCCTATAATACCCTGCACCCAGACAGGTTCCAGTGTAGAGAATATAGCGGATATCCATGAGAAAAACAGCAACACCTCATCTTGTCAGGTGTAAAATTAAAATACAGTGGAAATTTTTTTACTGCTCCAGGTGGTACAAATGAATCTGGGAAGGATAAGGCACGAAATATTAAAAGGTTGTATTACACTTTTCCATTAAATGACCCAAAACGCCTCAAACTTTGGATGAAGGCAATCCTCCAAGCAGCCTGGCATCTCCCAAATAATCTAGTAGAATTTGTCCTAACCATTTTAAATGAGATATCACTGAAATATAAACAAATTGTCCAAGTGTACAGCAGCATGAAAATCAAGGCTCTAATGTTAATTGTTATATACACTACAACATGCTGTAGTCAAGCTATTTCAAGTTTAAAATGATAGTGTGATGCCTTTGTTCTACTGTGAACCTATTAATTTGATAGAAAACATTTAACAGAAACAGTTTATCTTGTCAGTTTTGCTATTCTGCTAACTACTATTATTAGCAGTGCAGAATTCATTGAGTCATTTTGCTGAGCTTGCTGATGTGTATGTTTGTAGAGCAGCATTTTCATCCTGTATCAAAAGGTAAAATAAGTCAAAGACTGTACTTAATCTAAGCCAGGTGTCCTTGGAGTTTAGTCTTATATGTCTTTAAACACTGACGATAACAGTGTTCTTCATATGATAAAATTGGATCAATAAAGGAAAATAAACGAGAAGCTAATGTTAGCCTCATAGTTATAGTGTGCACATAATATACACCCATTCTCAAGGAATACAACGTATATTTAAAAACTAAATCTCAATTTTGTCGTACTAAGGATCACACTGACCAAAATCACTTTGATTATGAATAAACCTTTTACGCCATAAATACCATAATCTTTGAGCCATATCCAACCAAGCCTGATATCCTCACTTGCGCCCCAGCCAGAACCCGTCAAGTCAGCATTTTCTGGGACTGGAACCTCCTGAATGGACACGGGATTATGCTTAATAATTTTAAATATCATGCTCAATTTTGTTTTGTTGATACAATTGCAAACCTCTGAATGCCTCTCAGGATTGAATCAAGGTGTTTATTCTTCACAGTCAGTTTGCTTTATCACCTGTATCAGTATACTGGACAGGTACAATCTTAGCAGCAGACCATCTGTGTGAGTGGTTTTAGTAGCTGGACAAGTGCCATAAAGTTAGTATACTGGGGTGCAAAGCACCAGTGGTTTCAAGTGGAAACTGTAGGATAAAAGGTGCTTCTGACCTTGACAGTGTACTGAAAAGCGTGACTTCACTCAAACTTGACAGCTATTGGCTGTGGCTCTTTGCCTATGTAGTTTACTGTTTACCCTTATTTACACTTTTTATTTCTTCCAAAACTGATTCACCAAATCATAATCAGTGAGGAGTTCGAGTAACAGCTTGCACATGCAAACATGCCCAAACATCTAACTAGTAAGGAAACTGGGGCAACCTATTTTATTTTTTCTATTACCCCTTTTCCACCGAGGCAGTTCTAGGGCTGGTTTGGAGCCACTGCCTAATTTTAAACCATTTCTTAGTGTTTCAAACAACTGGTCCTCAGCGTGAAAAATGTGTTCTGGAGTGGAACCAACCCTTTGCTGATCTAGAACTAAGGACCGCTTACCTCATGGGCCTGGAGTGAAGTTATTGTAAAGAGCTGTTTACTACTATGACTTAATTCTTACATCAGTGTTAGTATGCTAACATTTGACAGCAAGCTACTAATTTCTCACAGCAATGTTAAGTTTGTAAGCAATTACATGCAACGTTTGTAACACTGATGGCTAGCTAGCTATTGGGTCAGCTAACTTTACCCTAGCAAGCATAGCCACTAATTTCTCACATAAATATTATGTTTGAAACAGATTACTTCAATGTTATAATCAATGGCTAGCTAGCTGTTGGTCAACTAAATTTACTGATGCAATCATAGATACTAATTTCTCACATCAATATTATGTTTCTAATAGACTGCTAACTAGCTAACCGTTGGGCGCTATCATTACCCCAGCCAGCAGAGAGACCAATTTCCCACATCAATGTTATGTTTGTAACAGATCTTTAGACCGTCAGCTCTCAGCCACTTCTCACTACCCAAGCAAATATAGTTACCAATTTCTCACACAGATATTCACATAACAATATTACTATGAACTTAACATTAACATGAGAAATTAGTAGCTATGCTTGCTTAGATAATGTTAGCTGACCATCAGCTAGCCTTAGTAGTATTCTTGGTAACAGTGGCTAACATCATTATGAGCTTCCCTATCATCATCACTTAACTTCTGGTTTTACAAAGGGTTAATGCTGCATATAGTGTAATAGACAAGTTTGTTTTTAAAGCATGGTTCTTTTGTTTTTTGTAGTCCATCACTGTTTTTGTTTTGCTTGGTGCCTAGCATTGCTGCAAAAGCCGAGATGTATAAAGCTGTACATTATATACTGACATATACAGGGATGTAATTATGTGGTTTTATAGTTACTCTGTAGCCCATGGAAAAGTAAACTGTTTTTTATAAAGGTTTGCAAGGTGAAGCAACTCCGAAAAAGGGTACATCTGAAGTCATTATTTCTTGTACAGTCCTTTTTATCTTGTCTAAAACCAGATCAGATTTGCCCTGCATTTTTAGTCTCATCTAATGAATGTGAAGTAAAGCATGTGAGGTGCACAGATGTTATGTGTAAACTTCTTCGAATTTTTTTATGGATATTTGTTGTAGCAATTCTGAACAACTGCATCATTTGTGTTGTATCCGATCTATGACTAAAAAATATATTTTATAGTGTGATTCAACTTGTCTGTTCACTAATAAAAATGGCTTGAAATATGCATCTCTAGAGAAAGCAATAAACCTAACACTCCTTCTGACTAAACATTAAGATGCCAAACTAGTACAGTTTAGCTGATAAGATTGGTTTGACTTCAAGAAAAAAAAAAGGTTGACACAGTGGAATCTCACTCCCTTTCCAGGACCAACAGGGAAAAATCTTATAATGTTTATGTGGTATTCAGATTATATTACCACCAAGAGTTGTCAGGCAAACTTGGTCTGTTAGGTTCAAATTAATCAGAATTCATTTCGTCACAAGGATCCAGATGTCCTGCATAGCTGAAGAGTTAGGGCATGGCGCAAATACCGCCAAGAATACAGAGTAAGCTTCTACTGGGGTCATGTGCACCCACCAAATGAACTCATAATACTTAAAGTTGTTGTCAAAAACATCTATATGTTCTATAAAAACCATGTCATAAACAAACCACTGTGAGCGGATGTAATGTTTTTTTTTTCCACCCTGCACATTGTTGTTTTTTTTAAACACTTCTTCAAAGAACAAGTAGGTGTCTTTCTACCAATGTTTTCTGGACTGGAGCTAGCTTACTTTGGTGTTCATGTTCTGGGAAAATTCGAGGATGGTGTCCACTCTTGTCCAGGCATCCGGATGCTCTTTTAAGTGTGTCAGCACCTCTTGTGCCATTCTTTGCTATAAGACAAAGAGACTTTAGATTTAACACTGAAGTCAGATTGCTTATAAAGCACTTTTTTGTACATTACAACATACCTGTGGTCCTACCCCATGATATAGACAGTTCACCACATTATCTAGTAGGTTGATATCCAGTTTCTGGTTGAAGTCCAGCAGCTGCTGTGCTGCATGGTCTGCTAACATTGTCATAATTGCTGGCATAGAGCTCTGCAACAAGGACAGCAGAGGGAGGGATTATGAGTGCATAGATCACATTTAACAGGCAAAGTCATGTGAACCATGTGTTTCAAACAGATGACAATGTGACGAACATCCCCTATGCCCACCACAATGCCATAATTTTTAAGAAGTTAAGCTTATGGTGTCACAAGCCTACCAGGACTCCAATGCCCTCTCTGCAGAGCATTTACCACCACAGGGTGCATAGGAAAGCTGCCTCCATCCTCAAGGACCCCACCCACCCCCAGCACGGACTGCTCATACCCGTCCTCCAGTCGGAGGCTCAGAAATGCAGGACTTCTAAACTGAAAAAATCTCTTTCCAACTGCCATCAAACTCCTAAACAGCTGACTCAGGATCTACCTCATCTAATTTCATCTGTACTGTTTACATACTCATTTTGCACATGCACAATTGCACACTCACTGCTGAGTATTTGCACTCCATGGCTCCCACGTAGCATATATTCTCTCTGCATTATATTGTGTTCTTGTTGTATTTTTATTTGCTTCCTTCACTTGCTGCTTCAAAGTGCATTAGATTTGTGATTTTACTGCCTATTTAGATTTGTGTTATTGCTCATATACTTTATATTTCACTTGTATTGTGTGGCATTCGTGTGCACGGCCAAGTAAGAATTTCATTGTACAGGGAAACACATTCCCTAACTGTGCATATGACAAATAAATACTTTGACCTTGACCTATCACTGTTCAGAAAGTATGCAAAGGAAAGGACAGCTTTGTCTGTTGGACTCTGAGTTTAGAAAAATGTGCTTTGGCTGAAAATAGTGCACAGTACTCTGGTCTACCCCAAGGAATCTAGATAAATGAATAGTCACACTGAGTAGCTGCACAAGAATAATAGTGTAAAAAAAAATCCCAAAACCTATGGTAACTTTCATTTTATTGACAATATGAGGGTTTTTTTTATCAGACTGGCACCACACTATCTCGACAAAAATAGGTTGACATTGATCTGTAATTGGTAGCATACACCATTCATAAAACCAAAGTCAATAACATTTCCCCGTTAGCTTAAACAAACCATTAAGCAATAGATTCAAACTTAGAAATAAGCAACTAGTTTATGCATGGCCCGTCCATATTACCCACCCTGCTCTAATAGGGCACTTTCTGTGACCATATTAAGGTTAAACGAGCCACGTGCCGGATATACTAGGCGACGTAACGTTGTTTACATGTTAGTGACGGCGCTCACTCCTCCAAACACCGACACATATGTATTAATCTAAAATCTGAATAAAGAATGCATTTTACAACTGTGTTGACAACTATAGAAATAATGTGGTTGATATTTAATGTGATCGAACGTGCAAGCGGCACTCGAGCACTTTACGCAGAATGCTAAAAACAGCTAGCATTTATGCTACATTTCTAGCTAGCTGTTAGCAGTGTGTCGGACAAACTGCTCACGTGGTCCTTCACTGCTGACTACCACCACTCCCACCACGGATACCAGGGACGGAGGGCGCCCATACATTACTTGCTCCTATCACTGAACAACTAAGTAAAGAAAATTATCGCTTTGTGTTTGTGCCAGAGCTCTGTTAAGCTATATTATTTAGACGTTTCACACACTAAAAGAAGAAAAAGTAGTTAACATTGGTTCCCGCTACGTATCTAGCAACATTAACTTGACATCCGCTAGCATCACACGAGTGATGCTGCTGCGGTGTGAGGAACGGATTTAATACAGCGCTTGCTGATTTGCAATGACACATGTAACGTTATAGGACTTGGCCTCTGTTAGTTATGAATTTAGCGTTAATTGAGTTAACTTACAGCACTTTCTGAAAGAGACGGCGACTGCAATTTGGATATCCCGCTTATGCTATTACATTCTGAATTAGCGTGTCTTTTAAGGAGCACTGTAACTAGCTAGATAAACAGTGATAACATTAACTTAACACGACTTAGCTAATACCCACACCACAATGCATTTTATTCGCTGTCCAGGTAAAGCCAAGAAACGTTAATCACAACATGGCATGTTTGCGCCTCACCCCAGTTACCTACCTAAGTCCAAGGCTCTGACTGAAAAGAGGGCGTTTGCCAAAAAAGCTACAAGATATAGTGAGTACTTCAGTATCACTGTTGAATAGATTTCCTATTTCTGCAGCGTTGACTATCTCCAGCTCCAGCAGTAAGTGATATCTAGCAGGTAAGAAGCATTGATGTGAATTCCAAAACTGTTATCACGGCAAACCCAGCACTATGTCGCTCCGATACATTTTACAAAACAAAGTAAACCTTGATTGACAAATTAATTCGTCACTCTAATAATTTTCCAGCGGGGCAGTATAGAGGTTGTGTGCCTGCGCCTCTTCTCTCTCAAGCAACTAACTCACAACCGGTTGAAACCGGTTCAGACTGGGAGATTCCATCTCGGTTTAGTTTTCAGCCGATGGCGCCGCGTAAAGTTTGGACTGGCGTAACGCCCACGCCACGCTGTGATTGGCTGCAGCTTTGGCGGAGACTGTCCAGTTGATGTCCTATTGGGTGACTGACCCGTCAGTTTATTTCAATTCGCTCAAGCGCCCACGCGACTACTCCGCCCGGAGAGAAAAAGAGGGCAGACTCCCATGCAGAATGGATTTCTTCATGACTCCGCGTATCAGAATTGGGAATAACTTAGTAACTACTATTTAATTGCTACTCCTAAGGGTTTAGTTATATATTACCTTCATTGTGTTAAACGTTACATAGTATTATTATACGTGCACATGACAGGAGGCGTAAAACTAATGCCATTTAATGATTTTATTCACAGACTTTGTACGAAGGGTCTGCTACTCTTAAAATTAATATTTCTTGAAGGGAGAGTGGCTGTGTCATACAGGTACACTGTTGGGTTGAATTATGTGTCAAAATGAAAGTACTGTTCATTTTGCCTGTTGCTTGTAAGCTGGTAATTTTCCACCAGCTACGAGTGGGAGTGGTTACATGATCATGAACGCACGGGGTTAGAAAAGCGACCTGAATGTGCAACACTATCAAAGTGAACGGTGGAGTTTTTAAATATGTAACGTCAGTAACGGCACGGGCAAGAAATGTACTAACATTATCTACATTTTGCTAATTGAGAGCCATACACAATGTGCACCGATGTCAGTTAAGGACGCAAACATGATAGCGTTTTTTTTCCACCTCTGTGGTCACGTGGTCCATCGCGCTACTTGATGGAAAAATACTGGGTTTGGTGTGTAGTGGAGACAGTACACAACCAGTAAAGTCATTCGAGGAATATTTCTCGAAGGGCGTTTGAGTATTTACCCACCAACAATGTCTCCCACTCATGTCTTTATGTCCCTGTGACCCAGAGAAAAATATAGGTTACAGGTCATTTATGTTAGTTGAAGTTGCTTGGTGCAAAATCTGTGCCTGGTCATTTCATTTCTTTTTTAGAAGTGCATATTGGGTTTGAAACAGACATCAAATGCCAATTTACTGCTTTCATCTTTTTACATGTTTGACTTAATGAAAATGTGTAATTGTGTAAAGCATCATACACTTTGTGCCTTAAAAATCCTTCAAAGTGTAGCTAGCCCAAAATCAAACAATAGGTATGATAACATATAATTTACATTATTTGATAGAGAACCATATGCTCATTTTAAAACACACCCCAGACAGTATATCTGAGCTTTATTAACAACCCAGATTTCAAAGCCTGCTATCTGTGTTAATTCATGAATGCCACTTTCTTTGCCCTCTATGCTGACACATTCCTGGAATCCTCTACACTTGAAAGAAATGAAAACATACACATTTCTAGGTAAATCAGCCCACTTTTTAGGGAATTCCTACAACATTTCTCAAGTTTAACATAAGTTTTAGGTCTTTATAACCTGATGTCCTGTGACTGGTTTAATGGTTGTGCTTTATCTTGTATAATGTAGGTTTATGTTTTATGCTCTCAGTTGTCCATACTTGTGATTTTCAGTGTGATATCAGATTTCAAATAGTGGGCAGGATAGACTGCCAGGCTTTTATTACTATTATTATTTTTAATCTAAGCTACAGTGTAACATATGTTTTTCCGTAGAGATTAGTTAATAGAAAGGTGGCTCAACCCATGCCATTGATGAAATGTGATTTTCATGAAGCAAACAACAATATGGCAACTATATCTTATGCTTTTCCTGCTTTATGAAGTTTACATCAGTATAATTAAAAATAAATATAGTACTGTGAATATTACCTTTTTCCATCAGAGTAATTTTGTTCACAAAAAGTCAGCTGCCCTCAGGCCCTGACTGTCAACACAGCTCTCTCTCTCCCCATGCAGTGCTGGAATTTGTTGTTATACATGTGTGAAGTTTGGAGGTAAGCAACCTCAGCCTGGTTTAGGCTGGTTAAATCTTGTTCTGTCTGGTCAGAGCTTAGTAGCCCATTTACATGTATTATCACAGGGGGGTGACCTCCATGCACCAATCAACTGAAAAAGCACTTGTAATTTGTTGTGCTGGCTCACTTTGCTGCTTTCCCAGTGTCTGAATACTCAGCCTTGCAATGTAAGGTTATAACACAAGAAAAAGAGAAATGAAAACTGGTGCACAACTTCAGGAATACTACCCAATATTGCTAATGTGATAGCAACAGTCAAACTGTCAGTCCTATCATGGACAATTAATTGAACATGTAATTTTAACCATTTCATACATGGAGTTAGTTTGTGCCTGAAGTCATATCTGTTAAGACAGGACAGGAATTATCAAATGCCTTTGATTAGCCTGCTAATCCAGTTCATGCTTCAGTCAGGACATTATATAAACAAATAACAGCGCCATCTTCTGCAACTTGTGTTTAAAATAACAGCATCGGATCCTTGATCATATAGCGCCCTCTGTTGAGGAGATGTTTGACACTTAATGAAACTGTCTCATTGAACATCACAAAATTATTATCAAACATATAAACCAACCAAATGGGAAGCCATAATGTAATTATATACAATAATTTCACTAGGGAGAACTTGGCAAATATAAAATATACAAAAATGTTTAATTAAATGTTAGTCATAATTTGTCTTATTGTCATTATATATTGCCTTTTTTGAATGGCTCTAAAGTCTGCTTCTCTTGTACTGCTTCATACTGATATGTGGACCTCCCCAAATGCTACTTCCACATGTTGCAGTTCTGCAAATCTGCCACTAGATGGGCCTTTAGTTTCAGACATGATAGCTTTTAAACACTTTCCCCACACACTTTAATGGAAATGTGTGTCCAAACCTTTGAATGGTCGTGTATAGTGTTTTACAGCCAAAATAAACATATAGTTGAGTTTTATCTTTAAGTTTATTCTGTGGTTTCAAAACTGTTATTTACAAATGCATTTAAGGGGAAAACACTTTCTTTTTGTAGTTTGCCTAAAGAGCATGTGTCCATTTATCTGTTACAGCCATTGGCCTCAAGACAGGAATATTCAGGACAAGAGACTCAAATGGCAGGACTTGGATACAGGGTTCAAAATGGATATTATTTAGTAGGTTCAAAAGGTTAGATTGATGAGACTGGGGAGAGTCTGACAGGCAAGTGAGTTCACCAAGGTGAGACCAACAGGAAGGCAGTGGTATAAGTTGGCAGCAGCTAGAGAGCTGTGCTGAAGTAGAGCGGAGAACTGGTATAGCTGCAGAGCGATACCAGAGAGGAATAGGCATGCGGTGAGGTGAACCTGTGGAGCTGGAGAGGGGTACTGGAGTGGAGGGGGCAGGTGGAGTGGTGGAGAACCAGTGGTGCTGAAGAGGGGTACTGGAGCAGAGTAGGAAGGCTGAGTGGAGGAGAACTCTTGGAGCTGGAGAGTGGTATTGTAGTGGAGTAGGCAGACACTGAGTGGAAGAGCAATGACGATGACAACAGGTAACAGTGCAGGCCCATGACTGGAGACAACCCAGGTGGCAGTGAGGAGAAACACAGGTGAGCACGCTGAAATGAGATGGGATAACTCACTCTGACGGAAGATAACAGATAACAGAGCTGGCACAGACTGCAGTTGACCCAGGCAGCAGCAAGGAGAAACACAGGTAACTGTGCAGCAGAAAAACACACCAACAGTCCAACAAGGGAGGAAACAAACGACACAGTAGGTTATACTGAGAGCTCATCAGCCATGTGATGTTCATGAAAGTCATGGAACAGATCTGCAAATGCCCTGAGTCAACCAGGTACTGGAGGCCCTGACCCTGATGGCGGCGAACGAAATAGGCCGGCTTCCCATCCACGAGCAAGGAGGAAGGCGGCGGCCCAGCCAGAGGGCACAAGGGGCTGGAGGAAAGCGGTTTGATCTGTGAAATGTGAAAGGTGGGATGGATGCAGAGGGAGCAAGGAAACCAGAGCCAGACAGCTGTGGGGTGTAGGACCTTGTTAATGGCAGTGACAGATGTGGGCCTGTACAGAGGGGACCTCCACCTCCTCCGCTGGAAACAAAGGTGGTTGATAGCCCAGAGAGGCTTCGAATGGGGAAAGGCCGGAGGCTGAACTAACCAGGGAGTTATGGGCGTATTCGGCCCAGGGCAGATGGACTAATGTTCAGAGCCCAAAATGCATCACAGGGCACCTTCCAAACTTGGGATATGAACTGCGGACCCCTGTTGGAGACAGTGTCCATAGGTATCCCACGGGCAGGCTTTTACATAATCTCACGTGTCCTTCTCTAATGTTGCCACCAAAAGTGGCATTTGCGCTCCCTGGTGGTTCGATGGACCCCCAGATGGCAGGTGAGGCATGAAGCATGAGCCCACTGCAGGACTCAGGATCTGATTGAATCAGGGACAAAAAGGCAATTGGGGGGCCCTCCGCCTGGGTCAAGTTGGTCTCGTTGAGTCAATCCAAGATCTCCCAGGTCACTGCTGCCACTACACAGGTAGAGGGGAGAAACGTTCCTGGCTCCCGGTCCTCTTGATTAGAGTCAAACTGAAGGGAGAATGCTCATGATGTCACCCTGACATCAACAGGGTTAATTTTTCATTCAGAAAAATTCTTCCAGAGTCACAAGACATAATGTACAACTCACAGGCTGTGCTCCCTATAATGAATATACTGATGGTTAAACTCAGAGCAGTACCCTTTTCAATCTGACCACTGGTTGCACTCAGGGTACCAGTAAAATGTGTTTTGTGTGTTTTGCCTTTATAATTTTGAATTTAATGAGAACACATTGTAAAATAATGTGGTATGGTAATATTGTCACTGGGTAACAAGACATGGAAAGTGCAGTAACAATGCTGACATGGCATTGTAGGTCTTTATAATTTATTTCACAATGATGATACAGTGACAAAAATATATTTTGTGAAATTTTTACTAGCTTTTTTCATATGACATATTTATTAATTCCTTACACTGTACAATGTATGGCAGCCTGTCTTCACCCCGTTTCCAAGTCTACCTGTCTACCATCTGTTCCGCAGCTACTTCAGTAATAGCTTGCAGCTGCAAAGGAAGCAGAGTCAGAGGGGTTTGTGTGTGGAAGGAAGGACCCAGACGGCTGAGGGGTAAAGGGAGGGCAGGCAGGTGGGGAGGGAGGAATGGAGGAAGGGAGGAAGAAGAAAGGAGGGGTGGTGAAAGCAGAGCTGTGATGCAGACAGAAAATCACATGAGCAGAGATCTGTTTACAAACTGAGAGCTGTAAAGGAGAGATGAGGAGGAAGAAGAAAGTAGGAGAATGAATGTGAGAAGAAAATACAGGAGAAGAGAGGAGAGCCTGGTTCTGAATTAGCATTAACTGCATTGTCTTCCTCTATTTTATACCTCTCTGTGTTCTGTGTCCAGAGCAGGAAAGCAGGGGAAGAGATGAGGAGCTGCTTCCCACCGGAACACTGAGGCTGCCTGCCTGGATGTGCTGCTGGGGAACCCATCCATGTCCTTTCCTTTGTCTCTACATATTTGGCCACGGCAGATTTTAACAGCTAGGAAAGCAGCATGCCCATCTAAAAGGAGAGGACAATAGAGAAAGGAAAAGAAAGAGAGGGAAGGAGAGCCTTGTGACAGCGTTTGAAGATAGATATAGCAAAGAAGCAGGGATTATCTTAAGACAGATGTTCATAACCAGAGTGCTGGATGCGATTTGGAGTATAATTCCTCATGGTGTCATTAGTGCCTTTTGATCCACAAGCCTCATAGGTTGTTTTCTTTGTCCTGCAAGGGAAAGACACAAAGGAATATTTAATATTTATTTGACACTTTCACTGTTGCTTGGGAGTCAAAATCTCTTTTAAGGTGGATGTTTTGTATTACATTTTCAGCCGGTAAATCATTCATGCTGACTGAATAATCACCGTTCAAATGAGCAGCTGCATATGGAGCTGATGTGTTCCTGATGAACACAAGAAGTCTCTAATCATTTCTGCTTAGACCCCAAGGACTTAATTCACTGCACATCCTTAACAACTATCAGGGTAAAAGAATCTGAACTTTAAAAAACACAAGCAATCTGTTTTATTTTAAGAAGAAACTTCAGAAAAGCTGTGGAGACCAGAGTTTGTCATATTGGACAGGTCACAACCTCAACAACTTTCTGGGTTTGCCATCTCAACATCTACACTTTTGATGCATCCTCTCCATTGGTGTAACGGTAGGTGTCACTATTGCAGATTTGTTTGTAAGTTTAATCTTAGTCAAGGTATAAACAAAGTGCTTACTAAGTGCAAATTTAGAAAACACCTAATCAAAATGGGTTGCATAACTCACTCAAACCTAGAAACTAATTTTTATCGAATATTTATAGCCAATAACCATTTCTAAGCTAGGGTTTGTTAGCATTAGCAAAATCACATTTCCCAGTCTTTGCATAAATACCACTGATTCCAAAACACACATATGACATCATGCTTGTAATGCTATGGAGACATCTTGTGTCCATAGCTGATTAGTTTGGATTGGACAATGTTACAGCTGTTTCTATACAACCTATTTATACATTTCAAAGTTTTTCCTAGCTACATTTCATAATTCTGAAAACCGGTAGTTTGAAACTAGCTATCTTTCATGCAAATTTGTCACTGTGTTTATGAATAGCCAGCACAACCCAATCCTAATGTGAAATTTTACACACAGAATTATAACATGACATATAAGGGCTATGATTACATATCACATTTCATTTGTTTGTTATATGCTTTACCACCAACATAATATTAACTCACATATATTTCAAACAATACCCAGTACCCATATTGTCTTAAAGGAGGACTATTTTTCCATTACGGGGTGGCTGTGGCTCAGGAGGGGGAGTGGGCTATCTCCCAACTGGAAGGTTCGTGGTTCAATTCTCGGCTTCTCTAGTCCACATGTCAAAGTGTCCTTGAGCAAGACACTGAACCCCAAGTTCACACCCAGTGATATCACCAGTGGGTGAATGGGCAAATAGCATGAAAGTGCTTTGACTGTGCTGCATTGTATAGAAACGTGATGTACAGGTGTAAAACCATTTCCAGGGAAACATAGAGCCTGTGAACCAGTGTTCAGGTATAGTCCTGTCCAGGCTGCATATAGTTGTCTACCTTTTAGTGCTCTACTATCAATGATTTACTAACATTGTGCTAAGATTACAGTGGCCTTCTCCTTTACCCAAACCTCCTATCAGAGCCTTGCCAAAATCCCCCACGATACTTGATTACATCCTACTGCCATGACCCTTGTTCATAGAGACTTTTGAACCTGGAAGTTGCTACCACAGTACAAGTTGTGGCACTTTACATCAAGAAAAATATATAAATTACTGTGGTTTCTTCAATTTTTGTGGATAAAATTGTTATGATCAGGTCCCAGATTGATGATTCTGTTCTGGATCCTTCTGTTGCTCCTATATGCTCAGCTGTTTTGACCAGTTTGAGCCTATTTCATTAACTGCTCTTATGAAAGCAGTTCAGCTTGTGACACCCTCGCATTGTCCTTTGGACCGGAGCCAGCAGCTCTGTTTAAAGAAGTTTTTCTGTTAGGAATGCTCGAACACAAAATGATTGAGCGGAAAAATAACGGACCCAGGTGGCTGACTTTGGTGCAAGCATCGAGGTTTATTTACAGTGCGAGAATAGTGAACTATATACACATATATATATATATATATATATACACCGTATATATACACACACAGGAGGAATGTGGTGAGAGATGACCGGGTGTCGATCAGCGGCAGCAGAAACACAGTCAATGAGGAGATGGGTGATGATGGGCCAGGCTGCGAACGGAGGGATCACTCCTGGGCTGGTCGAGGTGAGGTGATGATGGCTGAGAACACAGAAGTATGCAAACAACAGGTTAAATGGGGACTGTGCATCGACCTGTGAGGCGGTGGCTGGTAGAGCTGAGGGGGTCCAGAGGAGAAGTCCGTAGAGGTGGAATGACAGAGACAGCGGGGCAGGATGAGACTTGAGAAAACACTGAATACAGATACTGGTGTACTTGGCACAGCAAAAACAGAATGACAACACTTATGGGGCCTGGAGACAAAGAAAGAACTGGCAGGGGAGTGAACGGTGAGCAGTGTATATGTACGGAGGGAAACTAACGAGACGCAGCTGGTGAGTAATCAGGGAAGCGGGACAGGTGTGTCGAATAGTGCAATCAGTGCAAGGGAGCAGACTAGTGTGAGGAAAGGAAGAGAGGAAGGTGCCGCCGGGCAAACCTGACGTTTTCATAGTATTGGTTTGGACATTGTCAATCTTATTAATGGCTCTTTGGCTTCTGGGATTGTCCCAACGGCACTTAAACATGCAGCGGTTCAACCAGTTCTTAAAAAACCCAATCTTGATATTACTGTTTTATCCAATTTTAGACCAGTTTCCAAGTTACAATTTTTGTCTAAGATTTTAGAGAAAACGGTTTTTATACAGTTAAAGACTTTTTTAGAGAATAATGGGATATTTGAGAAGTTCCAGTCTGGTTTTAAGACACACCATAGTACCGAATCAGCGCTGTTGCGGTTGACTGTGGATGAAGGTAATACTGCTATTTGGATTTTCTTAGATCTTTCGGCTGCTTTTGGCACAGTAGACCATCGTATTTTGCTGTCCCATCTGCAGCACTCTGTAGGACTTCATGGTGGTGTTCTTAAATGGTTTGAATCATATCTGTGTGATAGGAGTTTTTCTGTACATATTGATGAGTTCTCTTCTTCTGTTGTTCCTTTGAACTGTGGTGTTCCTCAGGGATCCATCCTTGGGCCAGTCCTCTTTTCTTTGTATTTACTTCCCCTTGGATCGATTTTTATGAAATATGGGTTATCTTTTCATTGTTACGCGGATGAAGAGCAACTCATTTCAGACCTTGATGGAGTGCCTGAGGGACATTAAGGCGTGGTTATGACATAATTTCTTATATATTAATGAAAGTAAGACAGAATGTGTTGTAATTGGTAACTGGTGTCACTGGTTCTGATATTCCTAGCTCTTTGGCCTCCTACCTGAGGCCAGGCCTCATGTGAGAAATCTTGGGGTGGTATTCGATGGTGCTCTTAAGCTGGATGAACAGATAAAATCTGTGGTTAAAGCCAGCTTCTTTCAATTGAGACTTCTGGCTAAGGTTTCTTTTAGTGATTGTGAAAAGGCAATTCATGCCTTTATTATCTTTAGACTAGATTATTGTAATGCACTGTATACTGGCATTTCTCAAGCAATATTGTCCCGACTCCAGTTGGTCCAAAATGCAGCAGCTCGTCTTTTAACTAATACACGGCGTCATGAGCATATCACTCCTGTTCTTGCCTCACTACATTGGCTTCCTGTTCGTTTTAGGATTGATTTTAAATTGTTGATGTTTGTCTATAAGGTTGTACATGGTCTGGCACCTTCATATATTTCTGAGCTTGTGCGTTTTTATACTCCAGAAAGGACACTTAGGTCTTCGAACCAGTTGTTCCTGGAAGTACCGAAGTCCAGACGGAAACATTGGGGAGACCGAGCTCTTTCAGTTCAGGCTCCTATACTGTGGAATGGTTTGCCATGGGATATTAGATCTGCTCCGAACCTGACTGTTTTTAAATAGATAGATAGAATAGATCGAAATACTTTATTAATCCCAATCTGGGAAATTGCATTGTTTCAGCAGTGGTTCACACTCAATATCATTTTATTGTGTAGATGTGTTTTATCTGGTTTTATGTATTTTTATTATTTTTTATGTTTTACTGGAAAGCACCTTGTAATGCAGGTTTAGAAAGGTGCTATATAAATAAATTTTGCTTGCTTGCTTGCTTGCTTGTTTAAGGTGACGTGTAGCCCCTCAAGCTGAATACATGTCTTTCTCCCTAAGCCCAAATGCCAGTGGGTAGGGTAACTACTCTTAGACCAAGAAGCAATTGGAACACATTCTTGTGTGACACAAGGATGCTTGTAAAAGATCACATGAAAGTACTATGTAGTGTTGAGTAGTGCTTTTGCTGTGAGATTTATATGCAAGGATTCTGTGTGTTATTCCCTCAGTACAGTTCCCCAACTTTCTCCCAATTTCTTACTAATTTCGTAGTTAAAAGAGAATTAGAAATTACATCCACTGCTGTTATTACACACCACCTGTACACATGTACTCATATGTCAACTTTCACCCAAATTCAAAAACTTAGTACAGCTCAAGAATCCTTGTAGGCAGTATTACATGGCAGTGCAGTGCACGTCTGCCAGGCCTTACCAGTTACACAGACACATACACACATGCACCTCCTAATATCTAACCCCATAACCGTGCCATGGGAGGTGGATACAGACATTGTGGTATTGTCAGACTGGCTGATGTATGATGGGATATAGTTGCCATAGCCCAGGCTAACCATGTTAGGCACTGACTGGCTAACATGCCACAAAGATTGAACCTACAGTGTTGTTCATTATGGGTGACCCATACTCTGGGGCAATACAACAACCTATAAACACTTCACTGTCACCTTATACAGTTGTTATAGCATCATGTGTTAGCTAACTGTTGCTTATTTACACATTTAGCACATGCACAAATAAAGAAAAGGCTAAAAAGTCAGGGCATTCATAAAGGCATTCAAACATGGAGGCTAAGCCACATCCCAATAAATTCTGCAAGCTCTTCATGTGAAGAGCTTGCAGAATTTGCAGAATACTGTGTATTAGATTGCCAATACGGTTTTAGGTCAAAACGATCGACATCCTTGGCCATTACTGACCTGATGGAGAACATTACAAGTGCTATGGATGAGAAAAAATATACGATGGGGATATTTATTGACCTAAAAAAAGCATTTGATACAATTAATCATGAACTATTAATGGATAAGTTAGAGAAATATGGGATCAGAGGAATGGCTTGGAA